AAATAGTTCCAGATCTGTCTGCTGACCCTTATGAATGTTTTCCAGTCAAGTCTGATGAGGTGCCAAGCCCTGCCCTCCGAATCTGAAATCTATTTTCGGGATTCCTCGGGGACTTTGCGGATTTGCATCCCTTGCTTTTCTGTTGCGCCCCCTTCGTGCTATGCCTTGGTGTGGGAGGTGAGAGCAGGCACAGTTCCTGCACTGCGTCTCCAGTGCTGTCCCCTGCAGAGCTCTGGGTCAGTGTGGGGACCGTCGTGTCCCATGCTGGGGCCAGCCCTATGGTCCTTCTGTGTCTTGGCTGCTCAGAGCCGGGGTGTTGTCCTCAGGGCTTGGTGGGCCAGGATGTACCCCCCGCCTCCTCTTTCCCTCTTAGTTTGCTCCCGTGTGGTCTGGGCAGACCCGCCACTCTCCTCAGGTTGTATCTTCAGTGCGTCCTCTGAATGCAATCTTCTGGGGAGAGGGGTCAGCTAGCTGGGATTGGGGGGAGGGGGGGCGGCCCCGCAGACCTCTCTGTTGGTTTGCTGCTTTATGCTGGTTTGTTGCCTTCAAGGCTTCGTGCACCAGGTTGAGGTCTGGTCCTTCTCTCCCTTTCCTGTGAGACATAAACAGTACCCTCCCCGCGGGGAGGTGAGTGCCCTGTTCGCCCACTACCCATTCTTCATCCTTCTTATATCGCATAACCTCGACAACCAGATGAAGTCTCCCACATCCTTCTCATTATTCACGTCTCCCCTTCAGGTTGTGCTCATGCACTATCCCAGTATACAGAAGGCTGTGGGCTCCTCCGAGAAAATATTTGAATACCTGGACCGGATCCCTTGCTGTCCAGCCAGTGGTCCTTTGACTCCCTCCGACTTGCAAGGCCGTGTCCATTTCCAAGATGTCACCTTTGCCTACCCAACCCAGCCGGATGTCCCAGTGCTGAAGGTACAACTCCTCAATGCTTGTATTCCACACGCCCGCTTTCAGCTCCACCAGCCTAGTTTTTCTTCCCATCTTCAGCCCAATGAACACCCACGACAAATCCTTCCGAACCCTCCCAAGGCAAAGATAAGCACCCTCTGCTCAACAAAGCATCCCCCAACTCGAGAGCCGCTTTGGGCCTTTAAGTGTACAGAAGAAGCTCTCAGGGCAAAGGCTCTTGAATCCCGAGGAGTTGCTGTAGCAGAATTTGTGTCCCCATGTTCTCATCGTTCCTTTTTATTTTCAGAGTCCCCTGAGATGTTTTTCCCTGTTCTCTGGCATCAGGGGTGTGGCATAGACGGAAGCAGTCTTGGCCTCATATACTATTCTTTGACAGGTTGTTATAGTTCCCCCATATTTCGCCTCCTCTCTCTGGGAGAAGCCGTCATGCGGTGTAACAAGTCTGTGATATTCCCAAGGCTGGGGACTTCAGTCAAGTTCTTATGGGATGACTCTCTGGTCTTCAGGGGCTGACGTTTACCATTGGTCCTGGTGAGGTGACTGCGCTGATTGGGCCCAACGGGTCTGGGAAGAGCACCGTGGCCGCCCTGCTGCAGAATCTGTACCAGCCCAGCGGGGGCCAGGTGCTGCTGGATGGGGAGCCCCTCTCCCAGTACGAGCACCACTACCTGCACAGAGAGGTGCGTACGAAGGTGCAGGGAGAATGGCGAGCGTCACTAGAAGAGGATTCTCACTGAGCACTGGAAAGGCGGGCTAGTGGGTGGCAGAAGACCTTGGGTGCTGCTAGGAGGGCCAGTGTGTCCTGTTGGCACAGGTTCTCGATAAAGATTTTGAGTTTTCCCCACCAATGTAGGCATCTCTCGCGTTCTTTGTTCTGACGATCATATTTCACTGCAGGTGGCTGCAGTGGGACAAGAGCCGCAGCTCTTTGGGAGAAGCATTCGAGGAAACATCGCCTATGGCATGACCCAGGAGCCAGACATGGAGGAAATCATAGCAGCTGCGAAGGAGTCGGGAGCCCATCACTTCATCTCCGGACTCCCTCAGGGCTACAACACAGGTGCTCTCCCCGCTCATTTTGTTACCCGGATGCTAGTGCCGAGTCTCAATTTTGTTCTTCAATTGCTCCTGCCCCTGTTATGTCAATGTGAGGTTAAAGGACCTATGTCTTCTTTATTCTAAAAATTCCTTTTGTCTTTCCCATACCTCCCCTATTTAGATGCGTCTGCTAGTCTGTGGTGTGTGTGTGCGCGCGCGCGTGCGCGCGCGTGCATGTGTGTGTGCACGCGGGCTTGCATATGTACACACAGGTGGGGATTCAGCTCTCACCTTGGCTCTTGTCTTTGCAGAGGTAGGCGAGGGTGGGGGCCAGCTATCAGGGGGTCAACGACAGGCAGTGGCATTGGCCCGAGCACTGATCCGGAAGCCACATGTACTCATCCTGGATGATGCCACCAGTGCCCTGGATGCAGACAGCCAGTCACGGGTAAGTGGCACTGTCTTTTTTAAAAAAATATAAATCATTTTATTGGGGCTCATACAACTCATCACAATCCACACATATATCCATTGTGTAAGGCACACTTATACATTCCTTGCCCTCGTCATTCTCAAAACTGGCTTTCTGCTTGGGTTCCTGCAATCAGCTTCTCATTTTCCTTTTTCCCCTCCCTCTCCCTCTCCCTCCCTGCTCCCCTCTCCCTCATGAACCCTTGATAATTTATAAATCATTATTTTATCTTACCTTACACTGCCTGGCATCTCCCTTCACCCACTTCTCTGCTGCCCATCCCCCAGAGAAGAGGTTACATGTAGATCCTTGTGATCCCCCTTTCTATCCTCCCCTTCCCTCCCGGTATCCCCACTCTCACCGCTGGTCCTGAGGGGCTCATCTGTCCCGGATTCCCTGTGTTTCCAGTTCCCATCTGTACCGCTGTGCATCCTCTGGTCTAACCAGGTTTGCAAGGCAGAATTGGGATCATGCTAGTGGCGGGGAGGAAGCGTTTAAGAACTAGAGGACGGTTGTGAGTTTCATTATTGCTACCCTGCACCCCGAGTGAAGTGTCACTTTCTTTACGCCTATATGTCACCCACATCGTCTTCCTTTAATGATTCCCGATTAGTCCTACTAACATTATCCAAATGAGTCCTTCCAAAACTCCGTAGTCCGCTTCACTTCTGCAGGTCACCCGGTTCCAATTAGCTTCTTCTTAGAACACCTAATGGAGCCAAGATGGCTTTGTGGTTAGAGTTGGGCAATTTGAAACCACCAGCCACTGGGGGTGGTGTGTGGGGCAGGGTAAAGGGGGGTAGGGGGTGGGGCTTCTACTCCGGTAGAGCGTTGACAGTCTCAGAAACTCAGAGAGGCAGTTCTACCCTGTCCCATAGGGTTGTTATGAGTTGGCATTGACTTGATAGCAATGGAGTGTTTTGTTTCTTTGTTATGCCACCTGGAACTGTTAGGACAGGCTGAGTCTCTGAAGCCAAGCCTAAGAAAAGGACATGCTAGTAATGAACCGAAATTCATTCTGCTTGTCCAAATGTGCTTTTCACAACTGATGTATACAGTGAACCCTGGTTTATCGCGGTTAATCGGTTCTAGACCCTACCGTGATAAATGAAATTCCGCGAAGTAGGATTCCTTATTTGTAAATCAAATATTTTCGTAGTTAGAGCA